ACATTAGCAGGCAGTAGAGAAATCCTAGGTTTTATTTGAAGTCCTTACAGTCTCTGCTCCAGCTGCTTTCATTATTCCCACTCTAATTCAAACAGAGCAGTCTGTTGCTGAACCTTGTCAAAGGCAGGCAGACAGACATAAACAAGACAGCTCCTGTTTTGTCCCTGAATAGATCTACAGAAAGGATTAAATTAATTTTGGAAGTCTACCGATTTTACAAGACCCATTAGGTTCTCCCTCATGTTCAATCATCTGTTTTCCCACGTTATTGTGGAAAATACACAAGACTTAAGGTGTCTTGAAAAAAAAAAACAAAAACAAAAAACCCAACAAAGCCCCAAAAATCTGTCACCATTGCTGCACCTGCTCTGTCTTGAACATTTTAGCCTAGGACATATGTACCAGCACTATTTTAAAATCACCAGATAATCATTCCCTGGGCAGTTCTCACCAGCATCATGTTAACAGCAGGAAGACAGCTTTTAGCCCATATTCAGAAATGTTCCTGCTACTTGCTAAACACTAGTTGAACAAATAAAAGAAAAAAATCAGCATTGTTTTCCAACATGTATGATTCCTTCAGCAAGTAAAGGTTTTGTACTGTATGAACTGTTCTGACATTAGGAACTGAATCACTGGAAGGTCCCTTACAGTCAGCCTGTGCTACTGCGATGTATTTTCATACTGTTTAGGAGACTAGTAATAAATAGTAGTTTTTAAGTCCTTCTCCTCAATTAACCACATCAAGAAATTCCTTCCTTTGAGGCAGTAAGTCAGGAAGTCCTGCAAAAAATGTCCAGAAAATGTGGTTACTTAAGTTTCTTGCTTGGGTTTTGTTAGGGATGTTAAAGCTTACTTGAAAGTGAGGTTTGAAACAGGAAAGGCCCAAGTTTATCTATCCATCTCCTTCTCTGGGTTACCAGAAGTCTGTTTGACTAGGAAATACAAAATAAAATTTCTTTGTTGACACAAACAACAGTAAAGCTGCATCAATAAAAAAGATGAGAGCATTATAAGTGGCTTAATTTAAAAAAATTAAAAATCCATCAGTTCCTCAGGTAGCCACTCTCTTTTGGGAGACTAAGCTTCTTATTTTGAGTTTACTCCCAACATCTAATCAAAACTGCTAACACTACAGCATTTTCAAGTTGCCTTTAGCAGGGTAAAAGTTTAAGTCTAAATCAGCACCAGGTTCCATGACAAAACCCCAATCATAGTTTAGTCATACTTTGAACAGTTGTAAGAGTCTCTTCAAAATTCCGATCAGTTGTTTCAGTACTGGAATCACTGTAGTAAATAACAGACTATAGATTACATAATGACTGGTTTGTTAATCATAATTCAGGTAATAAAATATCCACCGCATCCTGCTCAAAGCAGCATTTATTAAAGATAGTATCAATGAAGCATTCCCTCCTACAAATATGTAAACAAGTTGACAGCAAGTTATTACAATATAAAAATTAAAGCTTACATTGCATTTTTTTAAAGCTACTAATTTCAGTTTCAATGTAGACAGTCTCTGGTCTGTAGCATTTAAAAATACAAGTTTTTGAAAAATGTTAAAGTATTACCTTTGCACATTCACATTTTTGTAGAAAAATACTTTAAAATACCAACATCCTATTAATAAAAGCATCACCAAAAATAAAATGCATCTTTTGTCAGGAACAGCATGTTAAATGCATCTAGCATTTACTCTATCATTCTGTTTAACCAAATTATCTTCTGCTCATTTTAAAATTCATTACAGATTGCAAAAAGTATCTTGGATAATATTCAGTTACTTTCACATAGCAAAGCAATTAGCATTAAGTAGCTAATATTGGCAATTACCTTGTAATCAGTCTGTTCTAAGTTTATCTGCAATTGAGGTCATGAATTTAATCCTCATCTCAAACTGTGTATTTTAACATGTGCAGTAGGGTCTTGCTGAGAAGTCTGAGTCAGTTCAGATATATTTTGGAAAGGCTTGAAACCTTTATATGATTTAACAAGAAATATATATTCTTTTCTAAGGTACCTTTAACCTCCATGTCAGTTTTTCTTTAACTATATTACCAGTTCTGTTGGTGGCAGTCAGTCAGTTCTCAGGAAAGGCTTTGTTTGTAAGAGTATATACTTTGACATGAACTACATTTTACATTCCAAAAGCAAAAGGAATATTAAATTAAATTTTTATTTTTGTTTAACATTTTTCCAAGAAGTTTACTGGCGAGAGCTAGACAGATCACTTGTGCAGTTGCTAAGGCAAAAATGTTTGAAAATTCCCTGTGCAAAAAGTTTCAAAGATTGTGTAATATTTCAAAACCAAACTAAACTCAATTCAACAAGCAGAGAGAAATACATCTTATTAGGATGAAAGCTAACCATGTCATTGTGCCCTGCCAAGCATCAGCTGACAATGAACAGCAAGGGGGGAAAAAAAATTAAGATAATAGAGTGAACCAGTTTCAGGATGAATTCAAAGAGCAAAATTAAGCTGTCAAGAATGTAACTTTACAGTAGGATATTAGACTGAAAAAGCCAGCTAGGCAAACACTAGAAGTTTTATCACTTAAAGACAGTATCTGAGAGAACACAAGTACATTTATATTCAAACAGTAATGAATATGAACAATACTGCCAGCTTTCCTAGTTCCATGCATAGTTCAGAAAAAGGAGAGTTTATTTAGCCTCAAGTACCTAACCACAGGTAGAACAACTTACTGACTGACCACGAGCGTGGTAGAGCCTAAACTACCCAAATGTTCTCTAGCCCTGGAAACGTGAAAAGAACACAGCCCCTGAAACAGAATCTACATGAACCTGTAACAGCAATTGTAATTCTGAAAGAGCAGCTCACCTTGCTCCTTCATGCAGGATTCTGATTCATAGAAAGATGGCAAATTTATTGCCAGACTTACAGATAAAACAAAGATGAGTTAAAGGAGGACGCTGAACTGGAGAGTAAGAGTTGGATATTCCACCCGAGGCCCAGGATAGTCTAATTTTCATTTCATCTTTTTTGCAAGATGCAAATACAAAAGCCTGTAACATCTTACATACCTCAACACACAGAGCCAGTTTTTTTTAGATGAGAAGCACAAGCACTCCTTGGGCACAGGTGATGAACCATACCCTGGCAGAGGCTGTCTTGCTAATCACTGCCTCCCCCATAGACAACAGCTCCTAATAAAAGGTAGATCCAAGTTGCAGTTTTGGTTCAAGGATGGCATTTTTGCACTATACTGATTTGTGAGAGAGCAGCTTTCCTGCCTTCTGATACAAAACTGTGTCTTTGAGCAAAGTAATACAAGCTTTGGCCTTTTAATCACATATGGACTGCTGCAACTTCTTACTGAAGCGTTTATCTTCCTTGGAGATGCTAAAAGCACTGCGCCAACAGTATTGCATTTGAATAACACTTTCCATTTGGCTTACAAATGCCTACAATAGCAACTGAGTAACGCAATGCCGATACAGACCAGCTCCATTTTTATCCATACAAGTCAAGCCCTGGCTCAAAGTCAACAGAAGACTACTTCGAATGCCAGTGCGTATTAACATGCCATTAAGCGCCTACCGACAGTGAACCTGCTATAGCTGTAATATAAAGAAAAAGAACTGCAGCAGGCCCAAGCCTTAAGAATGTGTTTAAAAGTGCTGCAGTATACTTGCAGATGACTGTCATACCTGGGGGGAAGGTCCAAGGATTGGAGTCCGAGATCCAAGGATAAGAGGGATCACATGCTGTTTTCTCTTCAGGAAAAGATACACCATCTCTCCCCATGTCAAGTAACAGAATTCTTTCTATAAGAAGTGGGTGTTTTCTCCCTGAATCCACAGTAGAAATATAGTCACAAAGAAAACTAAAATCAGCCCAATTATCAGAATTGCAGAAAACAACCAAATGAGACCTCAGAAAATCATTTTTACAGTCCCTGCTTTGAATGACATCCCAAAATTAATGTCTGTGCAAACAGTTATGCCATGGGACTCTAGGTTATAAAATTGCTGACTAAATCAGCTAGACTTTTAGAAAAAGCTATTTGTATGTAAATATTTTAGTAATATCTGTAGCAATAAAAGAAAGTACTACACAGCCAATTTTAGAATCCACGTAGGATATGAAATATACACACATACATGTTCTAATACATTTTTTCATTCTTAAAGCAATGCAGAGCAAAATCAGATCAGAGCCTGAATAATCTACCATACATGCCTTCATGTCAGCATGACTTCTAATACACAGCTGATGGGCTGATCAGATCCCTGAGGTCTATCACTGGAATTGCTACAAGTTTTACTTACCACAATTTTAACCAAAAACTGACTTAAATCATGTTACATCTCTCTAGGTGAAGGAGGAAGAAAGACACAAACAAAACAATTAAAACAAAACAAAAAAACCACCACACCAACAAAAGAACACACAGCCTTGTAATACACAGGAAGGCACCTGATAATATTAAGTGTTAGTAGCAATTATCTACAGCATCCTAAGTGTACTTAAGCAATCAAGATACATTTTTAAAAGATCATGAAATACAAGAATTGCTGGCATTCAAAAGATAAGTCTAGCCTGTCTAAGAAGTCACTAAAATGACATGTGCAGCTGTAAATCAGCAAGAGCGTGCAAAACTATACAGTTTTGCATAAAGTGCTAAATGTACCCCCAGTTTGCACCTATTAGTTTGCACCTATATAAGTTTGTTAAGCTTGGCAATATGATGCAAGAAAATTATCTTAAGGATGTACCGTATCTACCTCATCTTTTCTTTTCCTTCCCCACCATCTTCCACTGTCCTTTAAATTGTACATTTTTAAATTACACAAAGGTCTTCTCAGGAATTGTAGTTCAGAAAAATATTTCAAGTATACCTATCTTTCCATGTAAACTTGGGGACACTATGAATTTGATTTTCACAAGTTCCAAATACTTACAGCTTCTGCCAATTCAACTGGAGCTGTAATTATTTCGGTCTGTTTAGTACCCCTGGAAAAAGGCTGTTTCTTGTTACTCAATTTCACTCCCATTTAAGGATTGCAGAAATTCATACTATAACTTATCCAGATTTAAGTCTAAACAATAAGCAATTACAGAAAAGCAGAATAATACTTTACCCAACCAGTTAGAGTCATAAAACCAAGTCCTACCATATCTATTCATACATACTCATTATATAAATCATATACAGATCTTTAACACTTGACACACTGAATTCAAGTTATTATAATACAGCAGTTTGTCTTGCAGGCATTGTGCAATATGGTTAGAAGTACACAGCAGGTCTCTTCTTTACTCTGTATTTCAGTGATCCATACCGTATCTGAGGAGAAAAAAAAAAAACAAAACAAAAACTTAAAATAATTGAGATCATTTCAGGGAGAAATATTATTCATGTTTCCACTAATCCAATCTAGTAAGCATCTTTCAGTGTGCTTTAGACACTCCACAAATTCAGTAAGAGAATATACCTATGACTGAATGAGACAGTTTCAACAGAATTGGGCAAAAGTCTCAACTGTTTTTCCAGAATTACCCCAAAACTTTTATAAGATTCCATATTCTTTTATCCTAAAGTATCTTTAAATTTTGTCACACATGCAAATATGAAGCACTTCTACATAGAATCTTCTCTTTGTGGGTTACAAGTTAAAGCAGGCCATATATCTATGGGAACTAAAAAACTCTGAATCTTCTTTAATCCATTAAACAGCAGATGTTTAAGTGTGCACAACCAAGAGATGCAAATGCAGATGACAGTACTGCTATCTACACCCCTTTCAGGGTGAGCAGTACCTGGAATTTGGGCTTGGTGGTGCCAGAATTAGCATTACAAGCACAGAGTCTGTTTTATCCCCTCTCCTTTTTTCCCCTCACTTAGTTCATGTATTTCCCTTGCACACCCCAAAGTACAGAACTGTCAAGCTTAGATATCGTTACCACATAGTTCCTTCTCTACTTAGCATTCTACAACCCAGTTATTTGTCAATAAGCCCTCTAAGATTAAGAGAAAAAAAAGTCTGCATTAAAAATGTCAAGATACATTGTTAAAAACAAACTCAATGCTTAACAAAGGCTCTACTTGCCTCTTTACGGCCTTTTACAGTTTTCACAGATTTCATGCTCTGAGTTCTTCGAAGGCCCCTCTGAGCAAACGTTTCATCCTCTGAATGTGTCCCCTCCATCTCTTCATCTGTTTTATCATCTCCAGGATTCTTTTCCAGTGGAGTTTTGCAACCTTTAAAAAACAGTTTTATAAAAATGTTTAATATGAAGTAGCTGTAACTTTAGATTTCTAAGAAAGCCACAAGTTTCATCTTTAACACAACCTTTATTCTTTTAAACAATATGGTCAGTCTGTCAGCTGTTTCAAAACAGTGAAACATCTAGTCTGCCAGGAGCTTGTTACTTATAATTCTGCCACCTGGAAGTAACAAGCCACTTCATTTCATAGGTATGTACTGCAGTGGTTCCTCAATTGTCAAAAATTAAACCATCAGTCTGCTACCATCTTCTGCTTTATGCTTGTCCTGGTTTTTGCTAGGATAGGGTTAATTTTCTTCTTAGTAGCTAGAAAGCACTCTGTTTTGGTTTCAGTGAGGGATTTGTTATGAGAAGAATGTTGATAAGGTACAGGGACATGGTGTTTGGGTAGTTTGTAAGAGCAGAGGACTGCTGGGGGGGGGAGTTAGCAAACCCTAGAACTGACAGTTGGATATGCCAATAAGATATTCCATATCATATTGCATCATGTTCACTATATTAACCAGGGCTGACTGGAAAGGGCTGGGATTCTCTCAGGAATCGCTCGGGCTCGCTTTTCCGGGATTGCAATTTCAGTTCCAGGGTTCCTTTTCGCTCCTCCAGGATTGTTATCAGTGGTGGTGAGCAATTGTACTGTTTGGCTGCCCACTAGGTTAAACTATCACAACACTGAACTGCAAAAACATCAGTGGTCATCTTGAGAAGTATTTAAGGTTTTTGGCCACAATCCCTATAGAGAGAGGCTAGACTAGATTATCTTTAAAGGTCCTTTCCAACTCAAGCCATTTTCAGATTCTGTGATTCACAGAATCTTCCTTCATATTCACATACCTCTCTGCTTAATTAATACTAAAATTCCTTTCAGATCGATACAATGTCAAAGTACTATTGAGGGTTGTTTACATCCTGCAAAAATAGGATCAAGATCATTACCAAAGATTCTCACGAGAGGGCGCAAACTGCTTAAAAAAACATCCTGAGAAGATCTTCAGGGTCCAAAAGCCCTGAATCCCCATCATATACAGCTCATAAAGCCCCCAAGATGAGAAGAAATGCCAGGCTTAGATGAAAATAAAAGAAATAGACCAAAGCTATTTCTTTTGTGGGAAATATCAACTACTTCACATTGTAGCCTTACCACTCAAAAAGATGCAACTGACAGCCTTCCACTGACATCTTCCTTCAAGCATCATAGGCTCAAGAGAAAAGTGATGATGATGATGATAATATGTAATATAATAATAAAATAATAAGAGTAATAATAAAATGTCTCTGCAAAACCTTATACTGGTCACCACACACCAGCTTTTGAGTGTTGATGTGCATCAGTCCACTATGACAACTTAATGCCTTCATAATTCCTACCACCAGAAGCAATTTTACATTTTGAACTATCATTACAGACCTTCTGAATTGATTTCCATTAATTTTCTCTCCCTATTTATTGAGCTTCCATAAATTTTCATGTTTAACTTTTTGTACATTTCTCACAGAAACACCACTTAACCTTGTGTTGTTGGTTTTGGTTTGTTTGTGGATTTTTTTTTTATTATTATTTCCAGTTAAGGTTTACTTTGACAAGAAATTCTCATTGCTAATTGGCAAAGATAGGAGTAATGAGTACAGTATGACTACACTGTTAGTGGCTGCAAGAAGAAAATAATGCAGGGAGGATTTCTCAACTGTCATAATATATTTTGCTCAATTCAACTCTGTTCAAGTGTACTGCAATTCTTTGAGGCCTTTTCCATTTCTAAATGGGGTAGATTTATTTCTGCTTTCTCACTTTTGTCTTCAGTGACTTGAGCTAGAAAAAAATAGATGGATGCTTACCTGAAGATTCACCTCCAGAGGCCTTGGTTTTCTTTTTTGCTTCTGGTAATGTCTGATAGGGTCTCTGTCCTACTGGCTCATCTCCTTGTATAGTAGTTAAATCATGCATACTGAAACTTCTCAGTTTCTCAGTTATCGCACCTTGACTCTGAAATACAGCAACAGTATCTTTGAAAACAAAGCAGAGGTTTAACTTTGCTGTTCAGACTAGGCTAAGATGTTTAAGTCCATGCTTCCTTGTTGCACTACAAAATTAATTGAGCATAAGCATGCGGTAGATTTACACTTGCTTGAAGTATTGCTTTTACCCAAGCTTAACTGTATACTGCTCCTAGATGAAAAAGTTATATAAGCTAGCAGTTTAATTACAAATGTCTCTATTGACTTCTTTAATCTGAGCAAATAAAGGCTTTTTGGGTGAGGGGAAGTGTTTAAAAGAAAAAACCCACACATCAGAAACACTCAATTCACTTCAAACATGGTATTTCTCTAGCAGTGCTAAGTAGCATGACAGTGAGTTTAACACTTCTGTTTTAAAAAGTGTGGTTGAAGATAAAGATTTCCACTATTTTATATTTTACCCTCTGCAAATTTGAATATGCATAAGAAAGGAAGGAAAAAAGTGTTAAAAACACTCTGCAACATTAACTCAACTAACTGAGAAACTGACAGCACTACAAAAGCTCTAGTTAACAGAAATGAAACTACAAACCAAAGCTGTCCTGCCTGGACTACAGGCTAGCAGGTTCTCTTACTAATGTAGCTTTACTGACATAATACCAACCCAAAGCTAATGCTACACCTAAGGATAGTTGATCACATTTGAACATTACTTCTTTTCTACATGGGACACATAGTAAGTTCACCTTTGGAAAGAAGCGTCGTCAAGCAGCTCTTTCATTTTACACCAGATGATGTTGTTATTAAAGCACTGAAGCTTAATTTATTGTATAAGCAACTAAAAGGACAAGCACATTACTCAATGTCATGTTAAAATAACATTTAATTATTCCCTCTCTGGCATAGGAGGCAAAAAAAAAAAAAAAACACATTTCAGAGGAAGGCTGACAAGCCTGTGCATGAATCCCTCTTCGAGCAAGGGTTCAAGATTTCATCTCATCCTTACAAATGAAGCTTTTTAGTAAAACTCCTTATTTGAGCACTCTGTTAGCTAGCAGTAGCAGAAATCTGGGTACAATTCCACACACCCTTCTCTGCAACAGCACCAGCGTTAAGGCAGCTCTTGCACCACTGGCCACAGCCATTTGTTCCCACTCTCATGACAAAAACTGCTTGCAGATAGTAAGCCAGCAGACTAAATTATTCCATATGTTAAAAATAGCTATGTAAAGTGACAAGACAGTAGAGTGATACTCCTTAAGCTTGCATGGCCACCAAAGGCAGGGGAAGGGTGGGGGAAGTGGCTGAAACCTAATCCTCATTTTTTAATGACTAGTCATTAGTACAGCATATTAAACTAAGACAATGTGCTACCCAGACAAGAACCACCTATTTTGATTCTTACACCACCACATTAATTCTTACAACAATACATTGACACTAAATAATAACAAAGAAAAACTTTCTTATGAGAAAAGTAGCAGCTTTCACTTGCAGTCTAGTTCTTCCTACATACATGTAGTATGACTGACCTCAAGAACACAACTACAGCTTGCCTTTGAGTTAAAATGCACTACTGATGCTGTACAGTCTGTGTATAAACTGTTGTAGAAATTCTGAAATTAATTTTATTCCCTATGGCTTATTTGAGGCAGGTCTGTCTTGCCTGAAGACAGGAATCCTGCCCTTCCACTACTCCAGTTCTTACACTGAAAAGCATTTGCACAGTAAATCAAATCAGGAACCAGCTATGCCTGAGAACTAAGTCAGCTGCTAGGACAACTAGAGAAGAGCAGAGAACTGGAGAGACAGGACTGCTTCTTTACACAAGTAACAGCTTATAGTATCTCCTAGGACTCTTGATAAATCTGTGTCCACTGCTTGTAGAGATGCAACTGGACTCACAACTCAATCACTGAACACTGATGAATATATAAAATGGACCCAGTTGGTTCTTAACAGAATCCATACAAATTCAGCACAACTCCACTCACTATGTGTGGACAGAATCTACTATGAAATAGTGACAGAAGCTGGATTTGGCCAGAAGCAAAAGCATAGAAAGACACACTTGCATAACAGTTGCACAGTGAGTTCATTCGTCGGGTGATATATTACAAAGAGACATTTGGAAACTGTACAAGATAATGTAATTAAGATTATAATAACTAACATGCTAAAAAGAATTCACATTACAAGCCTGTATCTCCTATTCCACTGTAGACACAGAGGACTAGATCCAAGCTGGGAATGTTCAGTCTTATTTTTCAGTGCAGCTTTCGGATACAGAATTTTGTTTTTCAAAGGAAAAAAAAGTCAGCTATGTGCCATAAAATAACATCATGCTTTTAACCAAACTGCACGCTTGATGAGGCTAGAGCTCCTGCAGAGCACTGCCTCATTCAGGGAGGACATAACGGATTCACACAATGGGCCCTTCATTCCAAAACTACTTGCCAAGATGGAAAGTTTTACTCAAATTATGCACAGCAAATATTAAGAATTTTGAGAGCATACATATACAAAGAAGAGGTGCTGCACATGTGCCTGATAGTCACAGCAGGAATGGGGGCTGCACAACCACTGCTGTACTACACAGTCATGGGCACACATCATACTAATCCTATGCTGGTACTCCCTACAGTCCCCATCCTCCTGGTCTCCTCCTTGAATGCAGCCTCCACTGAATCCCTAGGAAGATCCAGTCTAGCCAAATTAAGACTGATTTCTACTTCACACCACTGCATAGACTAGTTGGAGGACAAGTTTTAAGGTGTTTTGCATGGGTGTGGGTTTTTTTCATTATTAAAAAAAAAAACCCCAAACAAAAAACCAACACATACTGTGCTCATAGGGCACTTAAGATTTAGGAAGATTCTTCCATTCTTCATGCCCAAAAGGAGCAGATAATTGCTTTCTACTGAAACAAAACATTCCATGAGGATCTAGATTTCTATCAGCTCAGAATGAAAGTCTGGCTGAAAAATATTAAATACCCTCGTATTGCAGACAGTGCGAGATTAAATACCCTCTACTCCAGGAAATGTGAGAGTAACATTCACATTTAGAATATTAATGCATTAAGAGCTTTGGTACATTGTTTCAAAGCTGAGAGTTACCAGCCACAACTTGACAGACATTTGCCCACAAAACAAAAGGCAGAGCAATCCCATTGCAAGTGGAACTGAAGGGGGATCTCCTGCTTGCACACTCATGCTGTGGGTATGGCAGCAGCCACCACCTCTCCCCAGCTGTACACACAGCCCCAGGATGCAGCTCACAAGAAGATGGCAGAGGAGTTGCTATGCCTGCACTGGTATCCCATTATTTCAACGGATCCTACCAGTAAAGAAGAAATTCAGCAGGCTGCATCCAGCCCAGAGGCTGCCAACTAAATCTGAGACACACATTTACAATTACAGTGCAGGCAAAAAAGCACAGAACTTCAGTGCTCAAATTTCTATGCAAGTGAAGTTTGCATAGTTTGAAGTTTCTACCAACTGTGTTGTCTTAAACAAAATGCAAGTCTTAAAGAGTAAGTTCGCTTATTTATTCAATAGTATTTCCTAAAACATGCTAAATGCTATTCAGAGACTGCATTCATTACCAGTGACCAATATGAAACGCTAATGGAAGTTCTAATAGGCTTCTAAATCCAGTTTTTTGATAAATATAGCCTACTTAAGAGTCCTTTCAGGACTACTCAGGCTCTAGTAAGCTATTAGTATGCCATCTCATCAGCTGACTCCCGTATATGAAACACCATTCTCCCTTTTGTTATTCAGCATGTATTTTTATAGTCTATATGCTTAACCCAGGGAAGCTGCTGTAAACAGACACCGCACAGGATGTCTGCCTCAGGGACTCCTTTTTTGTTGTTGTTGTTTAAATTGGATTTGCAGCCCCTCAATGGTCAGGACTGCTGCAAAAAGCTGCTTGCCTTCATTGGACAAGTTCTCAACAGACTCTGCATCCACAGAGCTGCTTGAAGCTTTGTGGCTGCAGAGCTGCAGTGTGCAGCACCCACATTCCCAGCTGTTCTCTCCCTGATCTGATCCAGGCTGACAGGGAAGGACTCCTGTTCCCTCTCAACCTGGAAAGGGACTGCTGTCCCATGAATGACCTCTGCAGCATGCCAGGAAGTCCCAGCAGGGAGGAGGGATGAAAGCAATATTGCTGGTGAGCTGAGCCACTCAGAGTGATACTGGCTGTATGCCACAGCTGGCTGCAAGGTACCTCCTTCCTCTGCCATGCCCCAGTGGGAAGAAGGGGAAGCCTGAGCAAGGCCATTAGAATAATATTTAACCAGCAAAGAGGCAGCAGATTCAGGATGACTAAAAGACATGCAGAAACACAGCCTCAAAATGATGTAATTTTTTATTTTATTTTACCAAATACTAATTTACAAATGAGCAATACTTGTGTGACCTCAGAGGACAGTGCATTTCACAGATTAATTAGCAGCCATCCCGGATATGGCAATATAGAAACCAGCTTTTGGTAGTAGCTTGAGAAGTCAGAATTTATGTGTTGGCAAAAAAATGAACCCTTTCACGCAACAAGAGGTAACCAGAATCTCAGAGGATCTAGAAAGCAGATGCATCAAAAAACAAGATATATCAGTAGAACTTAGTGTTGCAGACATAATTTCCACAAATCCATGTACTCTTGAGCTGAAAGAGCTCCAACAACTTTCCTATCATTACAGGCATTTTGTTGACAATTCTTTCATACCTCAAAAAAAATGTTATCAACCTGTAAAAGTCAGCCTAGACCCATACTTCATCTCTAAGTCTCCTGAAATCAGGATTTTACAAAGGTTTGTTTTCTGGCATGTTATTAACACAATTTATTTTGGTAACATATGCTATTTAGTAGCTTTTAAAACACTAAGTTTTATATGAACAGTGGCTAACTAGTACCAGCTAAAAATATCAGTATCTGTGTATAAGCTATAAACCATAACTCTTGCCAAATACATTTCAACTTAACTACAGTGGAATAGGTTTAAATCTATGTCAAATTTCAGTAGACTGACCTGGCTGGCTGGCTGGTTGCTCCAGCCTCCTCTACACAGCCAACTAGCCTTTTAATACTAATCCCCTATTCCTTTGGCAGCCCTTGGAGAAAAAATCTTTCCCACACTTTATCTTGAAAATACTCCAGATAGGAGGGTGGTAAATTTGCTTGGAAACTAAAATCAGCATAAGCAGACATCATAGCGTCTTTTGCTTGGACACTTCAGTGAAGAGAAGCTTTCTTTGGACCTCCTCTTGTGTTTAACCTCCCACATTCTCTACTCCTAATTTGAGATCCAATGTGTCAGAATAAGCATGCCTACCCCTTAAAAAAAAGTGACGAACGTGTGCCTCCTTCCCATCAGAACTGATCCCACTAATAGGATTCCATTCCTGAAATCCTATAACATGCTCCACCAGCTCATGCTGAAGGGATAATCTTTTCACCTGCTGGAGGCAGCAGTCAACTCTTGAAAAACAGTGAACAAAAAATCAAGAACACATGCATTATCTCCATTTGCTTGCATGGAGCAGTCACACTGAGACTTTTGGAATGACAAACTGAAGAGAGGTTTAACATGCAAAAATAAAGGTTTTCAGAGTCTCCTCTTTCACACTGTTTAAAAATCATCTCTATTTTAGGTCTTCGGTAATGTAGTGGTTGTTTTTGCCCAAGCATCTCATCTGCACTAAACTAATTCTGTACAAATATTCATGAGCATGTTTATCAAGTTTTAACAAATAGAGCAGGCATCTTGCCAGTCACAGCTGAATAACAATGAAATCTAACCACAGACATTTAGGAAAAAGTTCTTCTTTATTTCAGAAGAAAGTGGGAGGGGATATTTGTGTTACTTATTTTACAATATTTTTATAACACCATCAGAATTAAAAAGGAAACACCCAACCTTAGCCAGACATAAGGAAAACACACTGAGCATAAGTATCGTTACAGGTGCACATTGTAATAAATTATGATTTGCTGTTTGGCAAAGAATTTGCATTTCATCATTTCACATAGTTCTTAAACTTTTTCCCAGTAGAGTACTTTCAGGTTTTGTTTGTTTGGGTTTTTTTAAACAACCTATTTTCACTAAGGATACTTTCATTCCTTTAGAGGTATACTAATTTCATTCTGAAATATTTCGTGCCTCAAGGCAACACTAAGAATTTGAATAACACAAAAAAAAAAAAAAACAGTGATCAAATGGAATCACATTGTCAGTATTTTAGGCTCATTATGTCCATATTTTAAAACAAAAAGTTATTACTGTTTACACTACTACCCAACATAGACCTTTAAAAAGGGAGGAAAATGAACAAACAAGATACACATTACTATTTTTCCAAACCTTTTTGAGATAGCGTTTGAAAATGTAGTTTTTTAGAAAATGTCTTCTATTTATAAAGCAGTAAGTTCATGTACAAGCACAGAAATTTAAGTTGTATGCTGTAGTTACTTAACTTGGACAGCCAGGGATCTCTACATTGCTTTCTGTTATCTACTAACACTGTTGACGTTTTAAGTCTGTTACTATGGATGCAGCAGTTTCATTTATACCCAGAAAGAAATTAATCCTCATCACCTTAAAACTGCCTTTTAACTATGACATACACATTTTTCTTTCCTTACTTTTTTTATTAGGTAGGATACATGTTGCCTAAAGTTATACTCCTTTTGATGGGCCACAAGTTGCTTAGAATCCTACTTACAAACTTGTATGTTGTTTTCTTATACCTAGAACCCTCTGAAATTCAACTGAAGGTTATTTAATTCAACTGAACAGGTTATTTAATGATTTAATGGAAATTAAATGACAAAACAAGAGTATGCTAAACAGCAATATGCAAGCTTATGCTTAGTATATTAATTTAATAATTCAATCAACAAGTGCAAACAAGTTAATTGTGTGAAGATAACTTTTATCTGTGGTAGTAATCTTTCATGCCTTACTTCATATGTGGAGTTACCTCAAGTTGATTGGAGAAAAACAGCAGAAAAGCCAGAAATCCTTTAAATAGTTTGTTTACCAAGAAAGCACAACAGAGACAGAAAAGAAACAATGATCATCTTTACCCAAAGCCTGCATAGAAGACTGCATGGTATCTTTGGAATTACAGTAAACTGATCCCCATCATCCAAGAAATAACTACAAGTAATCTTAAACAGACATAGTATGAGGAGGACTAAAGGGCTGCAACCCCTAAATTGTGCTCCATGTTTTCAATACGTTTGAAGAACTAATCTTTTTGTATAGGAATGGCAAATCCTCAGTACAATTACATTGTTCTATACCAAGGACAAAAACAATTAATGCAAGCAGAAAGTTACCTTTACAGCTGCTGTCACTGCAGCAGTTGCTGCCAAATTCAACCCTTGCCTTCCAAAATTCACCATGGTCTCATAGCCTCTTTCTTTGGCTTGTACGATGTACTCATCAATCTCCTAAAAGCAAAACATACTTAAATTTTAGAAGGCTGTGCACAAGAGACTCACGTTACCCCCACAGTATTATTTTTTCCATCAATAAAGGACGACAGAAGAAATCTTTTAAGAAAACATTTAATGAGATAATTACTCTTGCCTTTGTATACTAATATTTCATTCACTTACACTCTCTCCTTTAAAAAAGGATTATGCCTGGTCAAATACGAAGATGAAATAAAATAGATCACTTTTGTCCAGCTCAGAAACATTACAGCTACATAGCAAGTTCTTTACAGAGAGTAAGCTTAATTTGTCAGACAAAAGTTGTTCAAGAAATAACATGCTTGAAATCAAGAGAGCTCCTTAGGAAGGTAGCGTCAGCTCACACAGAACTTCTGAAGCCAGAGCTTTGACATAGTTAAGTACCAAGGACAATCCTGTCGTGACATTTAGCCCTAGCTGTGGTAAATGCCTGGAGTTGGAGATAAAAGCTTCAAGGTAGTTCACAGCAGCTAGCAGACTCTGGGGAAAAATTCCTTTAGCTTATGAAGCTGCAAAAGGTTTATAGTTCAACCTTCAGATCAAGATGACCTTACTGTTCATATCAGTGGCAATCATGTCAGCTGTGTTGCCTAATAAAGGCCAAGCCCAGCACTGACCTTTAGAAACACTATTTTCTGTACTGCGGGGTTTTTCAGTGGTAGTCTTCACACCTTTGCTAATCGCTCTTTCCACACATACAAACAGGATAATGAAAAAGAGCTCAGCAGATCTGTGGCCCTGTCACACTTTGGCCGGAGCTAAACATCCTTTAGCTATTTTCTGTTTGGGTATTTTCTGTTGCAGACTAGTCTTCCCTTAAACCTCAGTAGAAAGTCTCTCCTCTTATCCTGTCAGTTTCCACACCAGAAAAGTCATCAATGTCATTCGTCCTGAGAAGTTTTATTACTAGGTTATGCTAGATAAACTGGTAACATGAGAAGTTGTTGCTAAAACTGCTTCTGCAAAGAGAGCACTGCACATGTTCTTCAAGTAGAAAGTCAAACTGAATCACTTCCACTCAACTGGGCTCCCCAAAGTGCACTAAGTATCACAGAGAACATCAAGTTATCTCATGTCTATAGAAAGCAGTACATGGTCTCCTCATGCAAGTTAAACAGAAACATATATATGGACAGTTGTATGCACTTGCCTCTGGTAGTCCAAGTTCATGCTGCCTGGCAGACCAGTAATGCACTGATCTGCTTTTATAATGTGTCTAGCAACAGTTAGTATTTCAGCATATGATATTTCCACATTAGGTATTAAAGACATGAGTAGTTATTTCTTACCCTTTCTTTAGAAGAAAGAAGTGGGTGGAGAAATTTTCTGTAGATTAAACTTGCCCCTCTGGTATATGGGGAAAGAAGCCAAATAACAAAAGCTATCTTCAGTTCATAGTACAGTGGAAACCTAAAGACAAGTTAAAGGTTACATGAAATCAACAAATGCACTAAGAAAATTCACAGTAATTGATCATCATTAAGAGATCTCTCCAAAAAACACAGTTACATATTAGCCTATAGGATTCTTCACATACAGTAAGTTACATTAGACAAAAATTAGATGAGTTATAGACCTATGGATTTAGTTTTTTTAATTGACTGTACTGTCATTTAAGAAATAGAAACAGTTAATAGACTTGCTTTGCATTATACATTCCTGCACAGAGAAATTATAGTCCATCCTTTTAAGAGTTCCATTCCCCTATACAGCTTCTACAGTAAAGGTGGAAGTTTTATAGTCCCTACTTAGAGTTACAGTGTACAGGAAGCTTGAAAACAAATGTTATTCTTCACATACACTGAGATATTTTCCTGAAAACAAAAAAACAAAAAAAAACCCAACCAAAACCAACAAAGGGCTACCAACAAGCACAACTTCTTTACAAAAATTAAATCATTGCAACTCAAAGAACATCAGAAACAAATATAGTTTTATCTAGAGTTCATAAAATGCAGGCTCTTACCAAGAGACTGTTAGGTCAGATATTGTTTCAGTAACTGTATAAAGAGCAAACACAATCCAATACATCATCCAGCGAACCTGAAAATTAAAACATCTTCAGTAAGAATTCTGGTTTCGCCTTTACACAGAATGCACTACACACACACTGTACATTCAGTTCAGAGCTGTCAAAGCAAGACATTCACAGAATCACAGAATGCTGGGGATTGGAAGGGACTTAGAAAGATCATCTAGTCCAATCCCCTTGCCGGAGCAGGAACCTAAATGAGATCACACAGGAAGGCGTCCAGGCGGGTCTTGAATGTCTCCAGAGAAGGAGACTCCACAACCTCCCTGGGCAGCCTGTTCCAGGGCTCTGTCACCCTCACTGTAAAGTAGTTTTTTCTCAAGTTTAAGCGGAACCTCCTGTGTTCCAGCTTACACCCATTGCTCATTGTCCTATGGTTGGGCATCACTGAGAAGAGCCTGTATCAACAGTATCCCAGTCTGCATCAACAAAGTTTCAAGTGAAATTATATGAAGGTCCTACAGGTTTTCTGTTCATAAGAAGAACTGGTGGCAGCTGCAACAAGCTAAGCGAAATGGCTGGGTCAACAGGGTCACAGGCTGGCTTCACAGATTTGATTCTGCCTCTAGAAAGCTTCAGAGATAAGAAAAACACACTGCAAAGAGTCAGGAGACTACTGTAAGTATGAAGTGCAATGCCCACTTCCACACACATCCACGTGTTTATAACACACACACAAGCCAGCATCAGTAAGCCAGGCAGCCCTTGCTTTCATTTTCCAATATATGTTATTCAGCTATACTTTGCAGTTAAGTTCTACACGTGTGCTTAACATTATGGTATTAACACCAGGGCAAGACAGGAAAAAAAAGCATTTTCATGGAAATTTAATTCTATTCATACGCCAAGAACCGCAAAATTCTTGTTAATAAAAGAGCCCCCATGTAAGCACCTTAATGCTTCAGTGGGTTACATCTATATACTTTTGTTTGGTTTAAGATTTACACTATACACCATTGTTTTGAAATCAGGCAATGCTCTTAAAATGCAGGTTTTGGTTGTTTTCTAATCGTTAACTAAATCACTCATTTTTCTCCAACATTTGTTCAAATTTGGTTGTCTAAACTGATTACATCTTTCAGAATAAATATTATGGAAGTGGTTCCACACATTTGTCTTCTCTAAGATATCAGTAGCCAAATGCAATTTCCAAAATAGGTCAGTGCAAACCACCACTGATTATTCACGCTAAGTGAACACCCACACGTTCCTTAAATTTCAACAGTATCTATGCTAGGAAAAAACCAAAACACTTTAAAAAAAGAAAGAAAGAAGAAAAGCAACACCCTGCTACTAGATGGAGTAACCTCATTTAATTTGCAATATATAGACTACTAATTCTTTACAAAGCATTAATCACCACATTTGTTAGACATTATTTCAAGTTCTAAATTCATGGTACCCTCTTTCAAAAGGAGGAATATATATATTTTCCTACAGAGGATGCAGCTCAGATTTAATCTTCACTTTTAAAGCAATCTTTTTTTGAGGTGATCTTTAAGTACTAAAAACTTAATGCTGCCTACTTCATAGTTGTGCATTATGCTTTAAAATCACTTCCTTTGTCACAACTTGAGACCTATTTATCTTAAATGCTTTTTTGCATTTCAGTTTTAAAAGAAACTCAGTCATGTGATGACATTCTTCACTTCAGTCTCTCAGAGGATTTAGATATTTCAGGCTTGAATAAACTAAGACAAATGTACACAACAGCTGAAGTCATCTCTGACATGCCATGTGACATTTAGACTGGTGACCCTTCCATGAACCAGAGTCAACACCTGAATAAAAATAAAATTAACATCCACCCTTCCCCATGAAGTTAAGCATGATGCAATGCAATTTTTAAGATGCCACACAAGACTGATTTTTTTCCAGTATATTTTATCCAGGCTATTCATACTTTAATCAACATCTATTTATCTAATTAGGAACAGCAGTAGAAGTGGCATTTCTCTTGGGCTGCTAAGAACAGTACAAAATGCTCTGCAGAAGGGCACACAAGATCTGCCAAGAGTTCTGCTAAGGTCCAGGCAAAGATTCTCAAAAAAACCAAGTCAAATCATATTCTAGTACAATTAATGCATTAGGTACCAAAAGTATCATTGACAGATGGAACCTTAGTGGCTTACAATAGTTTTCATACCAGAAAAACAAACAAACAAAAACAACCACAGGAAAAAAGAGGAGGTGGTATCTGACACTGCCCAAAAGACTGTTATCTACTTAAATCCTAAAAATGAAGTTTCAGAAGTTTTGATTGAGTTTTGCTTTTTCTGTTAAAAGAGTAATTACAGATTTGTTCTGTTGAGCTTTTTTTCTACCATCCAAGCATTAAGCTCATCTTTGTTGGCTTTGGCTGAAGCACATCCTTTCAAGTCAGGATTTTGAAGCCAGAATTTGAGAAGACTGGTCATTCAGACTTCTAAACTACAATTCAGATGCTTATTACAAGCACTTTGGTAACTGTGAAAAAATTCCCCAGATATCTTAGTCAACTCCATTAAACCAGGGTAATTACAAAAACAAATAAATCTCCTCAAAGGCAGAGATCACAATTTCTAGAACTAAAGTCCTTAAGTCTTTCGAATTACCAAAACCAGCAGCAATGCTTTTTTTTTTTCCTTCTATATTTCCAGAAATAATCTTTGAACAACTTGCTGCATCATGACCTACACAGCAAGTCAAGGTGTCTGTACTTTTTCTTTGCTTTTTTTTTTACTGGTCAAAGCATTGGCTAAGTAAAAACATTTCCCCTTACAAAGCTCTTGCAGTCCAGCAAACAAAAACAGATGGCTCCTGAGCCACACTTAACCCTGGAAAGGAAGTTCTGCTTGGGCTGTAACATTCCTGGCAGCAGAGCTGTGCCACTTGGAAGGCTGCAATTAAACCTACACCCTCTCTGTGAAAGAAAATGACCCAAGTGGGAAGATGAAAGCAATGGATCATCCCTAAGATCTATCTGGACACTAAACTCAACCAGCAATGGCGTGGTAATTCACTGATGAATCAATATAATTCCCTGCCTATGAAAAAGTAACTGTGGTGGGTCTCATTCATCTCAGCCCCAGGAACATTTGTATGCAACTACAAGTTCAAGGACTGCTCAAAGACCACAGGTGACTGAAAAGCAGTGTTTTCACACTAAATGAAAATACATAGTTGGAAAAAAATGGTTCTAGGCCCTACTAAAGGTAAAGTGTGTGGCACTGTGTAAATGACAGTCATCTCTAAAAAAGGAAGCCCAAGACAGCCAGCTAAGTCATAGCTAACTGGATAATTGAGATAGGAGTAAAAATCTCAGCATTCTACAAACATTACTTCTCTTTTTCTAGAAAACATATTTCAAGAGGCAGAGGCAACCCCTTAAAGTGATTTCTTGTATTAGAGTTTGAAACTGCTATCCTCTGCTTAGCCTGTAGATCCCTTTTGAGAGAGCAGGGAGGAAAAGCAGATAAATTCTATGCGTTATATACCTTCCTGATACAGTAAAGTAAGCAGGAGACAGAGGAAATTCTTCTCTTATTTTTGATGATTTTTTCTGCCAGAAGCTTAGGTCTGGCAGGCACTAGGTCTATATGCACCAATAAGCTCTAGACAGCTTGTACACAGAAACCAGAAGAAGGATGAATATGATGTCCACTTTGGAGCCTTGATGGAGTGATCAGACTAAGACATACAAGGGGAGGAACAACAGCTACTGCATTCTACGACTACAACCAGGTTCAAAGTGGAGATATCACACATCCAGATAGCAGCAGTAGGTCACAGCTATGGCTGCTGAGTTGAACTGATAGGACTGACTATATCCTGAGTCAGGCAGCCAAGTTAAGAAAAAGGATCAGGACAGAATACATGTTAGTTGCTGAAATCAAGTTAAGCTGCCTCTTAAAACAGGGAAGTAACTCTGTGACTAAAGCTCCTTATGACTACAACCACGTAACATTCTTGTGGTTATGATCATTGCTCACACAGAAAAGTAAATAAATTAACAGATTAATTCTAAATTACAGTAACTACAGTAATTGTGTTTTTCTCCATCTTACTCTTCTGTCTGCTTGTTTCCTCCACATCACCTTAACCAAATCTTTTCCTTTCTTGGTTACATTTATTTCTCCTCTTTGAGGAATGATAAGATTAACCAGAGCTACCCTTCCTCAGGTAGATTGATACCCCTGTCGAGCTTCATACAATGACAATTAAACTGCTGCTACTCTTCAAGTGGCCACTAAGAATCAATTTGTCATTGCTTATACTACAGGTGTTGGCAGAATGGGGAAACCTTTTTTCTACTCCCTGCCCAAAAGCACATTATTTTGGACACTTCACTGAAATGCAGCCAACACTTAAAGGTTTAAGTTTAAAAATCCTCCTAAAAATATCCATATATAGCATAGTGTGTTGGACACATTTCAGCAAAGTCTAAGAAAAGTCTGAGAAACCTTAACTTTAGCTCTCCAAACAAAATCACAGGATTACCACTAGATTCACATAAGTGTTGTATCTAATACTAAGACAGTCAAATCAAGCTTTCATAGGATTTATTGCACTGCATAATGAAAATTTCACAGTTGTATGGCAGCAGAGGCATTTAATTAAGCAATTAAAAGGAATGTGACTTACATATTCCTTCACATTTTTTGTCTTCACAGCTTTGTATGAGTAATATGCAGGATACAGCATCCCAAACACCAGCCTGTTGGAAAATAAAAGAGCTAATGTATATAAGCTGTATATGACAACAGTGACAATACATCATTACAGCAATGCAGCCAACTTAATAAAAAAAATATGTCTAGCCTGAAAAAGAAAAAAATCACAATGTTATAGGCCGCTTGGAGGAAGTTTAGCAATACACAAAAATAGAGCAACATGAACAGAAAAGGTTGTACACCCTGAAGACAACAATAGTTTGGCAAGACTGCCTTCTAACAGATAATGTAAAACTAGTAGCTCTTCTGGTTCAGCTACAAGTAAAACCAGTCCTGCAGTTTGTCCATACCAAAAGACTGCTTCCTCACTGGCAGCATTATCACACTTAAAGAGCCTGTAACAACTCTGAGCAGATAATCAGAATCATCTACTTTTATCAGATTACCAGAAGATTCTTCAAAAGCACTTTTAAGAAAACAAGATGAGATAGATTATTTCATCTCCTTTTGCTAAAACTCTGCAACAGCAACACATGGAAATGGAAGCAAGTGGGAATTAATCCAGTTTTGCCGAGACAGCCAATTTCTGCTAAAATTCATCAAAAGTAAGGTGCAGAGCAGGGTGAGAGGGTGCCAAGCAATCCATGCTGAGAGCAGGATCAGAACAAAGATCTGTTCTTGTTACCACACAGCATTTTCTAGTAAGAGCCGTGGCCACAGGCTAGTGGAACAGTTCTTCATGAGAAATTGAACAGCAGCAGTTGCCATCTCCTTGACAGAAGCAAGAGCTCCATACTTTTATTCCACCAGCTTGTTACACTTCGTAAAGTCAAGCAATTGCCTGTGCTTACTTCCAGCTGGCCTAAAGCAGCAACTACAGAAATGTCTGGCTACATCTCTGCAGCATCACTTACAACTTGCTCAGGGTGGTTACGTGGGAGAAATTTATACTTGTAGGGATATCCAGAGATCTTCTAAGAAAGTTCAGAACTCTTACATAATTTGCCCACAGTTAGGCAAAGGAAGATGCATCACGCGTTTAGTTTTGTTTTTTTTTAATAAGAGTCCAACTGGGACAGATCCAGCATGTCAGATTTCAACTCAAATGGTTTAAGTTTACCAAAGTAAAAAATCAACTAAAATTTAAGGTTTTATGGTTGGGTCAGGTAGCTTTAAATAAGTGGTTCTACCTACAGAGCCGCAGCAGAAGACTGCATGACACGACCAAGCTTTACTTTACCGTTAGACCCAGGAAAGGATTCTACCAACCTGTAGCCCAATTTACTTTTTTTTTTCTTTTTTTTAAAGCAACTACTACTCCAAGACCCTTCATCTTCTACAAGATGTTACTTGCAAAGATTACCACAGAACTCTCCTAGTATACAAGACAAACGTAGAGTTTGAATTCAATCAGTTTGATATACACCATCTTCCAAGCACCAGTCTGATATGTAGGCAGAAGTCTTCTGCTTGGTAAGAAGCCAATTTAGAGTACTAAAGTCATCTCCAACAGTTGACATATAGTACATAAACGAAACAAAAATATGGAATTGTTAACAGCAAAGGTGAGATACTTTCTTCAATATCACATAAACCATAGAGAGAAGGTTTCTCCATCTTTAGTGCAAGACAAACACATAATTACCCATGGAAAGAAGCCTGTTGCAGGGGTAGGGGGATACTGCCAGAGGTACTAATGTTAAGCTATAAATGCCACAAGTGAGCAGGAAGGATAAAATTATGGAAGCATAATTGCAGAAGCCTTCATGTTTGAAAAGGCCTTGTGAAATCATCTAGTCCAATCTCCTACTCAAACCAAGTTCAGCATCAGATTTGGACCAGTCTACTTAAGGTTTCAGCCTGTCAGGTCTTGGAGACTTCCAAAGAGATTGCACATCTTCTCTGGGCAACCTGTTCCAATGCTTAATAAGCCTCGTAATGCAAAGTTTTAGTTGTATCCAGTCAGAACCAGAAGTTGATGACCTTTTTTCTCCTAAGTAGCACAGCAAGAGAATGGCCCTGGCTCTCATAACTTCCAAAGAGTAATGTAAGATTGCTAACAAGTCCCCTCAAACCTTCTCTTTTGGCTGAACAAGCCCAGTTCATTCAGACTCTCCTCACAAGTCATATGCTTTGACCACCTTAGTCACTGTACTTTCTCAAGTAAGTTAACATCTTTCTTGCACTAAGAAGCCCAAAGCCAGACATAGTCAAATGTACAAGTCTCACATCTACATCACCATCCTCTCCTGAATGCATCATCTGTATATATTTTATTAATATTTTTCTCATAATTTAATTTAAAAATTATAAAACTCAACTTAAGAAAAATCCTCTAACACTGAACCATATATTTTCTTACCTTTAAAAAACAAAGAAGGCTCTAAGAAAAATAATTTGTTTTAATCACACTTAGGACAATAAAAATAATTATTACCCGATTATAAGTAAGAGTCAAAGCTAGTTAATCATGCATAGCTTTTTTTCTAGAGTGCATTCACTTCCACAACACGAGACTAGATCTGAACAAATCTTCTGGGGCACATTTGCAACCTTTGCATACAGCGGGCCTTTACCCACGCAACAGAGTTGTTAATGGTGGATAGCAGCAGAGGAGCTAAAGGGCACTTCAAGCAGGTCTCCATGGGATCAGACTCCTCTGTAGTGGGAAGGCAGGGTGCACTGCAGATCACTTAAAACAATGTTGCTATGAAAAAGCGTAACCAGGGTACCGCAGCGGCAGTGGAAAATCTGGATATGGATGCTCAGAACTTCACAATTCATGTTAAACTGAAGTTAACAGAAGATGGATCCTGAAGATCTTCAGCCTGTATAGGCAAGCTGCTACTCCACTGCAGCAGAGCTTACCTACGCATTTCAGATATTGAAATGCCTTTTGAAGGAGTCCAGACTACTTGAATTCCAGTTCAGCATACTAATCTGTAGAAGCCTATCCAAACACAATTCTACTACAATCCAAAGATCTTTCATCTTAAGGCCAAGAAAAGCAACAGTCAAAAAACCCTGAACAGTTTTATTTCCAAGTAGGAGAAAAGCCTGACAACACAAGTTCAAAAACCTCACTTCACCCAAATAACAGGAGATCTGGAAACAGAAGGAATATGAAACCAAACACTCTTCATTTGGATAAAATTCTGTAGACAACAGCTCTTCCTCTCATTTTTGTCCCAGTGAAACACCCTGTTCAGTAACCCACCAGCTCTAATGACTCTCACCTTTCTTTGTTCTTGTGGTTGAAATTATAATCATTAAGTATCAGAGATAAAGAAAACCTTGTTAATCCTAATAACATAACACAGACTTCATAAGAGCAGAAATTTATTTTTTCAAAGAAAAGATATAAAACAGGTTCCTGAACATCATAACCATATCAACTGTCAGCTGGCTGCATAATTATATGCAATTGATCTTCAAGCAGAAAGTTTATTTCAGTAACAGTAAGAAGACCATAAAGCTAAGCTAAAGATGACCTCAAGTTAAATGAGAGCAAGGCAAAACACAATAAAGGCAGCTAGTTTTCCCCAACTAGCCAATCTATGTTATTTAATACTGGTCAAATCAGACATCAGAAAAATCCCTATTTTAGTACTCACTTTTTTTTTTCTCTTAAAAGAATTTTTCTACAAATCACTTTTAAAACCAAAGAACAAGAAACTTAATAGCACAATTTATCGTTACTTGTTAGTGTTCAGTATTTCTGTAACATGGAATTATTAGGAAAACTGTCACTTGTGCACTAGAAGTGGGTAGATAGGACTAAAATGAAAAACATCTGCACATTGAGCCAGCAGTAATAGGAACCAGTACTGCAAAGGTTTTTATCTCCTTACAGCCAGAGCTGACATTTTAGGTGTGGCATGATGCTGCTGCCAACTCTGGCATCACTACCTCCTTCACGTGGGCAAAGTCATCTAATCTTAGTTAAAGCTACCAGGCAGTTTAACAGTACAAAAGCCAACTTGCCACCAGTGAGTGTAGCTGAAGGTCAGCAAATCCACTTTTGCCCTCAATCTATACATGACAGATTAGTATACAGGCAAAAGAGATCACTGCAGCTGATTGAAGCAGAAACACATAAAACAGAAGCAGCAGGGAGCCTGGGCAAAATCAGTATCGTTGACATAGATAGACCACAACAGCCGAGCATTTTCTAGTAGTGTTCCCATTTGGGGCAATATCCCCCAAAATCTCAGTTGTTCGTTCACAACACCTACTGCTACGCATTATAAGCGCATCCCTCCTCTGGTATTTCTACAGTAATTGTACAACACACTTCAAGGATGTGCCAAATTGTTCCAAGGCTTTTCAAATTTAAAACCTTAAGTGTTATTTTTTTAAAAGGGCAGTTTGTATTTCACACTGGAGATCAGCACACTGTACTAATATAGTGGACAAAAACAAAGCCAGTTTCCACAGATGGAAACAGATTTCAGCCGAGTGTGATGTCATTTACTTTATTTTACTAGTACATATACAGATAATCCTGCTTACCAATGTAATTTCACTGCCAGTTGTATGCCTAGCTATTTCAGTTTTTCAGCTGTACTCAGCAACAAATGTAGCATTCCTTTTTTGGTACTACTTTGTCTACAGATATTTTGCTCATTTAGAGAGAAATCTTTATCAAATATATTAGGAGATTAAAATCAAAACACAAAGCAAAAAAGTATCAAAAATATGAATAAAACAATGTATTTATTTATTCATATAGCTGTATTAAATCAATCAGAACCTACTGCCTGTATTATCACATAATCTACAGTCTTACAGTTTAAACAGCTTTAAAGTGCACAACTATTTGAAAAACTCATTTCTGAAGCGAAGCAACTGAGTTTGCATTTGACTGATAACTGAAAAAATCAGTCACCTGTACACACATTGCTCTGGCACTGAGCATACTTAACCTGGATGGTAAACAAATCTAAAGATAATTTTTAAATTAAAAAAAAGGACGAAACACAAATTAAAGCCACCAAGTTGCTCGGAAAGACTACTTGCATCCAAAATTGCAAAACACTAAACCATTAAACCAGCGCTGCATTTAAGATTCAGTCTGTTCACATTGCCAAAGAATTGCCCGAAGCAAGGAACAGTGTTTGGCACTCTTTTTCCTCTGAAATGCAGAAAGATAAGGGTCACAAGGGTTCCCTAGTAGTAAAAGCCATTCAGGAAACTCCTTCAGTATGAGATATTTTGGAGACAATGCCATTTGCTAAGCTCCCTTAACAGGTCTGATAACAGAGATGACACTGATTTGTCCTACCAGTGACAGACTGGCAATCTTGGCAGACTGAAACAGAGCCAGGCATTTGTGAATGTGTGCATCTACAGTGGAAACACAACCTACATCCTGAGGGATCCCTCCACAGCATTTGGCAGGTTGGAGAATCAAAGAATCCTCCCCATCTCCACAAAACCATGGAAGCTAATATAAATACCTGATATACTTCCTTACTTTGCTGACCATGCCCAGTTCCCCTTCCCAAGACTATTCTTTACCTACAAGTCATGACAGGAGAATCTTCCATTCCTGTCATACACACAAACTTTTCTAAGCACTCATCAGACACTGTGGAAATACCAGAAGTAACGTAATGACTCCCAGCTCTGTGTGTGGTACGAAAGCCTTAACTGCACTGCAGTATCTATGCAGAAACTAGGTCTGATGCTGTTAGTATTTGCTTCTGTATGAACTATAATTACTATTCCACATTATGGTTAGTGAGTTTAGTTAAAGCAAGATTTCTTCTGAAGGGAAGTTCGCTAATGGAAACTAAATAGCAGAAAGAAATCTAGTCTGAAAAACAATGTTTGAGCCTTTGGCTGGCTGCTCCTGGCTTTCAAAAGGCAGATATGGCCATACTCCTTAACAATGTGTCCACTGAGGTTTACATCAGCATGCACTGGAAAAGCATAAATATTTTTGCCAGACTGTATGCTACAGATAAGCAGTTTGGATTTTTCTCTCTCCCCCCCCCACCCCCCCCTTTTTTTTTTTTTTTTTTTTTGCTATAAGGCAGTAAGGCAAATCAGTTATGCGCTAAGTTATAACTGCTGTGCATCTCTGTCTGGTATCCTCATGCTCAAAATAAGGCATAAGGAATATCTGCAAGAATCCTAGTCAGGGGAAAAAAAAACAACCTTGCAGTTAAACAGAAAAAGCAAGACCTTCAGTCGTGCCACCAACACCCCCCGAGCGTTACAATTAGGTAGCAAGTTCTGGACTAAGCCAGCTATCTCCTAGGTTTTCACACAAACAAAAGCTCAGACTGGCATTTCTGTCCTGAATTTTTTGAAAGGCACTACACTAAACAAAATCTCTCTCTCCAGCACCTGACAGAACTAGTTCCATTTTGCCACCAGACAAAATGGAATAGTGTATATTCACATATACACTAACCATAACAATCCATTAAAGTCCGAAGTCTATTAAAAGACTACATATTTCAGTAATTACAAAGAATACACTTAGATCAAAATGCTAGTCTGTTACAAGGATACGGGAGCACGAGAATAAGATCCTGAACCTCACATCAAGTTGCATCCTACTTTTTCTTCCACCCTCCGCCCTGGGCAAGGAACAGGGGAAATCACATAAATCCTATTAAAAGAGCATGTCTGGTAACAAAAGCAAACCTTAAACTCAGCAACTCCTTTAGCAGATTACAGTTACCAAATTTTTTTTAGGAATGCAATCACAAACAGGTCTGTTAAAACCTTCACAGCATTCTTATATAAAGAATATCCGCCAAACCCATAGAAAAGAAGTCTTACCAGCTAAAGAATACACCCAGAAGCACTGACATCTCTGAATAAAGCACACTCTTAAGCAGAGCAAGGCAGCTATTAACCTTCCAGCTCAGGAAGCTTGAATTCTCCAAAGCAACTGCCAGATTCTTCCAAAGCACGACATAACCAAAAGTAATGCAATTATTCAAGCAGTTGAAAAACACCTTAAGGTTTTCAGAAGAAAAGTGATCTCCCTACCAATCCCACTAGAAAGTGGGATTATTTAATAAGTCCTAAGTATAATAAATGTAAGCAGTCTGATAGGAGACAATTAAGCCTTTCTTCCAATGCAGAGCTTCAGGCTCCATTACATGCATCATCCTATCTACTTGTGTTTATGGAATATTACTTTATTGACTTACCCCAAAACAGGGAACCTGTTGCCAGACACTCTTCAAGTTTTTTCAACAAAGGAACAGCCCTGCCTGTTTATTTTTTCTGCAAATTACTTCCAAAATGAGGATTTTCCTTTCCTGTCATTATCTTAAGCAAAATTCACCTACAAATGCATCCTCCTAAGAATATTTTTTCTCATGCTCACTTGCTTTCCCCATATGCTCAAACAGAGTTGAAAGCACTGGAAACTTTCATAGCATTTTCTAGGTTGCCTGTTACTCATTCTACTTGCTACTACAGCACCTTATTATAACATAAAAATATCAGTCTTAACTAAAAATTAAGTCAATACCTGGACGCACATTAGATGTTCTACCTCCTTGAGTGAGAATTAACCTTGAATTTCCAACTCATAGCTTACATATGGCTTGCAACCTATTAAGCCACTTCAGTCAGCCAGCAATATACCCCAAGCACAAGTCCCTTGAGTCCCACTCTCCCAGCAATGAACCTACTCCATGTGTGTCCTAACAGTCCTCTCTCATAGGCCTGTGATAGCCTGGAACAAGATACTGCTAAAAAACAACTCACCTTTTGTTCAGGTACAGATCACATGCAGTGCAGAAGTACTTGGGGAGAAGCTATTGCATATCAATCTCACTAGAAGAAGCCTACACCTATGTCTGGAGATGGTGTACAAAATGTGTGTCCTGGACTGACCAACTTTTCTTGTGCTGCTGGATAACCTAAGCATATTTTAACAGAAGGGTGTAAGCCTGGAGATACCATCACCATGTCATTACAAAAAAAAAATTAAAATTTAAAAAAAAAAAATTAAAAAAAATTAAACCAACCACTAGTTCTCAAATCCTGTTCAAAACATACATTCAAAAGGCCCAACAAACCTAGTAGTAGAGAGAATTCCAAAGAGACAGTACTGGAAAGCAAAATAGAAAATGTAGTAAGAATAGAAATTGACAGAAAACTCTTAAGACACATGTACTCATGCCTACCTATGCATCACTTTAGCATCCATGTTCCACTGCTACTGTAATAGCGCCCTGACTATCCCTGCACTATTTCCTGTTTACAGACTTGCCAAGCTCCATCACGTGTGCAGAACAGTCAGCAGGTGAGCTCACACCTTCCGAGCACCCACACCGAGGAACTGAAATAAGATGCATTTACACTTCCACATGATAAACAGCAAACACGTAAGGCCTTCAGTACAGAGTCACCCTTATTAGAGAAATTCAATCTTTCACCTAGCTCTCAGGTAAGTTATCTTCCTTCAAATCTAAAATAGGCCCTGATTTCACCTGTTGCTACGACTGTTTACCACTGGAAGCAAAGTGTTTGTTGTCTCACAGCAGCAACCCGTGGCATCAGGCAGGAGCACAACTAAATGCTGAGAACTAGCCCACAACTAGGAATGACTGCACCTACTTCTCACACAGCTCTTATGAGAACCTGGAATGACTTTTTCTTTGAACAAAAATGTGTCCTTGTACTGAACTGTGCTTTTCTTTTAATGATCAGCAAGGACTGACAGCAGGATTAAAGATGACAGTTAAAAGAGACCAATTGACTAATTTGTTATTTTCCATTTTTTAAAAAACCATCAAACTAACTCTAGTTTTCAGCAGATATTTTCTATATTTATTTGGTACATGCATGAATAAGTTTATTCCACGGAGAGGTGAGCAAGAACACAAGTGAGACCCAATATTTTTTAAGTTTAAAGATGAAAGCTGATATCTACATGGATGTTCAAATAAACTGTTGCATAGCATAAACTCTGTTTTAGGTGATTAGGCTTTAAAAAGAGTTTAAATAATAAAGGTGATTGACAGAGAAACACATTTATGAGTTTCCTTGGTTTTGAAAAAGTTCTTTACACTTACTACTCTGAGGTACTACAACTTACACATACAGTTTTCATGAGCAATGTGATCCTCTCAATTTAGGATACCTCTGATGAGCTCCTGAAAGACATCACTAATTTAATGCAGATGAAGTGCTGAACAAGATTAACATGAATACTACAAATTCAAGAATGAGGTGTTTAATTTTGTCATGAGGCTTAAAGTTACATATGCATCTGATACTTAGTTCCTTCGCTTTGATAAACTGAAGTAAAAACTTACCAGCTCTCTTAATTCAACTACTTACTAGTCTTAGCTTTGTGTCTAGTGTCTTCAAAATAATTTTAGAAGCTCCTGCAATTTTTTAATTAGGTCTTAATTTCTGTATAAGAATATTAGGTCCTTCATATCAAGGATACTCTAGAAGAATCAAGGAGAGACCTTGCAAACACGTTCTATTTTAATCTAACTGGTACACTGAAAAGTTGTTCATTACAGTAACTTCAACTAACACATGTAAAAGTCAGTGGCCACTTATTTTCAAAGGTTTATCTGCTCTGTGCCACAGTAAATTTTGACACACGCAAAGACAGATGGCTGTTTGGAGAGCCAAAGCTAACATGAAAGAATAAAGCAAATACTATAATCTCAGTACTGCCAACTCCTGCACATTTTTAAACATGTTTAACAGTCTTAAAGCTTCAGCTCTGGAGATCTCAGAGATCCCAATTCTGGAGAAATGACCAAGTAAGAATCAGATTTGCCTATAAAGATGATCTTTTATCCAGTACAAAATTTGAACAGAAGCCGTAAGAAGGCATAGCTGAAGAACAGCAGTACTAATTAAGTGACATAAGTTCTGCAGTTGATAGAAACAAACTAAAACAAATGCTGTCGAAAATACATGAATACCACATCTCCAGAATATAACCCAAAAAACCCCAACAAAATACATTCTCATTCTCATTACAGCAACTGCACTTAATGTTTAGTGTATGTAATGTATGTGTGTAATGTTCAAAGTAGCCTCACTCATTAATATGTCCAAAGCAAGATAACTCACTATTTTAAGTGGCAGTAATCTCCTTCAGTGATGGGAAAAATAAACTTTTTGTTGTCTTAAAAGATCCAGGGCCAGTTTTTTCTTTGTTAGTGCCAACCTGGGCATATTTACCCAAAGTTGTATTATCTTCAGTCAAGCTATGGAAGTCATGATGGGAAGCCCATGCATAATTGCACAACACAGACATTCAAGTCTTAACTGCATGAGATGGACAGAAATTCTTTGAAGTGTTCACACATATTTTCTCTATTGTCTCAGCAGCTGCATAAGGAAAAAGTGACCTGACATATCCGACACTCAAACTATGGAAGTCCAGTAATCTAGTACTTCAAATATTATTTTCAATATTAGAGATAAAATAGTTAGAGCTATAAAGTCGGGCTCATTCTCAATCATTTTTGGAATCTAAAGCTTTCTTCAGCTTT